AAAGATCTGTCTGCCTCTTTCTCCCGAGTGCTGGCGCTAAATGTGTGTAACACCATGCTCAACTTAGACTAGGAGCTTTAGATTGATGGGAAACTGCCCAACAGTTTTCCAAAATGGCTGCATTCTGTTACGCTCTGCCCACGATGCTCCTGATGACCTTAGGCCTGCAGTAATTTTGACTTTAACTGGCCTAGTGCATGATAGAAGAACAGCATTCGATATGGTTCTAATTTGTGGCTCCCTGGCTGTGTGCAAGTTTTTATGTAGACTTGTTTCCATGTCTCCTGGGTGTTACCTAGCAATGGAATATATTTAATATGTTTAATCTTCTGAGGAACTTCAAGGTTATTTTCCAAGGAGCCACATCATTTACATTCCTATGAGCAATGTACGAGGGTTCCAATCTTTCCCTACAATCACCCACACTTGTTATTTAATACTTGTCCCCCACCTCACATTTGTTTGTTTGTTTGTTTTGGTGCTAGGAAGTGAACCCAGACTCTCCATGCATGCTAGCCAAGCATTCTGCCATTGAACAATATCACCAGCCCCAACATTTGTCCTTTAAAGTTATAACCATCACCATGATAAAGAATCTCAACTGAGATATTTATTTATTCTTAAAGGTTTTTAGGGTTTTTTTAAAAAAAGCAAATCTTGATATGTAATCTAGGCTGGTCTTGAACTGTCAAGATCCAATATTCCTTCCTTTGCTCCCAGGCCTGAGATTAAAGATGTACCCCAAAGCCGGGCAATGGTGGCACATGCCTTTCATCCCAGCACTCGGGAGGCAGAGCCAGGTGGATCTCTGTGAGTTCAAGCCCAGCCTGGTCTACAGAGTGAGATCCAGGACAGGCACCAAAACTACACAGAAACCCTGTCTCGAAAAAAAAAAAAATGTACCCTAAAACATCCTACTCTTCTGAGATGTTTAAATGGCAAAATTGAATAGTAAAAAAGAAAAAATATATAAAATAGTAAAAAAGAAAAATATATAAAAATATTTAAAAAATTATATCTGTGCTGAGAAAGAGGGTTGATAAACTGTCCCCATGAAAATTGCTGGTAGCATGGTGTGGATGCACATGCGTTTGTATGCACATATGTTTGACTATTTGGTAGATGCACATGTGTCTGTGTGTGTGTGTGAGTTTGTAGTTGGGAGTGTGTGCACAGTGAAAGTCACCATGGGAGTGAGTGAGAGGATGGGCACACCCAACTCATCTAGCTTTTTTGAAAATGAACAAGCAGGCTTATCAACTTTGAGTAAATGCTGTCTTTAAACATCGAGACACAGGAGGAACTAGAACAGAGGAGAAACACCCGGTGCAGAGGCAGGCGGGCCTGTGTTTGGATATGGCTTTACCTTCACCCAATTATAAGTCCTTTGAGCTTTGGTTTGCTGGTATGTGAAATGGTGGTAATGATACCTGTGTGAGGATTAAACAAGAGTAGATGTTAGTGCTTTGTGGTTCGGAAGGCAGTGTGCTCATTATGATGGCCAGAGATGTCTTTCTTCTCTCTGGCCTCCGTCTAGTCTTAGGCAGGTGGGATAACCCAGAGAGTGGGAGTTTTATATGCAGGTGGACTTCAGAAAGGATACTTTGGTTTGTTAGTTAAAACCTGTGACCTCAAGCATGTTACTTAGTGTCTCTGAGCCTCAGAGGTCAAGATACCTGGTTAGGTTTATATGCAGATTAAGCCACAGGGTTTATATTTAGGTCCTACCGCAATACTTAGCAAGTAGGACATATTCAGTACAAACTATCTCGCTAAAACCTGTTTTCCTTAAACATGAATGACCTCACAGGCCGTGGGCAAATGGGGGAACTGACAAGCCTCAGAAGTCATGTTGGTTCCTGCACAATATTTTTTCCTAGCACATTAATGATCTGAAACATCCAGGGGGAAGCTTTCTCCATGTAATCACCCCTTCAACACAGCAACCTGGGCGTTCTGAAGGCCTTAAGGAAAATCACAGAATACACACAGCTGTCTTCTTCAGCTGCAGGGAGGGGCTTAGATTAGAGCCAGTGTGTTTCCTCCTGTCAAGCTTTTCCTAAAGTACAATCAGAGAAGCTATGAAGACATTTCTTTTTGTACTGGAAAGATGAACAAGTTAAGAATGCTGCTCCATGCCGGGCGGTGGCGGCGCACGCCTTTAGTCCCAGCACTCGGGAGGCAAAGGCAGGTGGATCTCTGTGAGTTCGAGGCCAGCCTCGTCTACAGAGGAAGTATCAGGACAGGCCCCAAAGTTACACAGAGAAACCCTGACTCGAAAACCAAAACAAAACAAAAAGAATGCTGCTCCTGTGTGTGTCATATATGTGCACATGTACATCTGTGCATGTATGTGTTACGGCCAGAGGTCAGCCTCAGGTGTCATTCCTCGTGTATCATCCACCCTGGATTTTGAGAGAAGGTCTCTCACAGGGACCTGAGGCTCTCCTGTTAGGTTAGGCTGCCTCCCCAGCACCAAGATTACAAGAGAGTGTCCTCATTGCCTGGCTTCTTCCACAGGTTTGGGGACTCAGACTCAGGTGGGAAAGCACTTTCCCAGCTGACCTATCTCCCTGGCCCCTGGCTACTCTTTAAATTAACTGTTTAATTGTAATGAAGCTTGTTCTTGTTAGAGGTGATCGGCCTCCCAGACCTCTCCTTCCAGAGAGAGCGATAGCAGGAGACTCAGGGCCGAGACGCAGTGCTCAAATGTTTGTGCACGTTGAGGCTTATGAAGTCCAATATTTCATGAATTTGACACTGTTTCTGTGAGTGCTGAAGTTCTAAGACTGTACACATTTTGAGTGTTCTTTCCCAACCTCATTTTTCCTTCACAAGCTTTGTTATTTTTAAAAGGTCATTTGCAGACCACAGAAATATATAGATGGTGTTATAGCAAAGACATCTGTATGGTCCCCTCCCCTCTAATATTCCTTACGTACTATAAAATTATGCAGGTGACCATTCATCGACATAAAATAGAACATGAATCTATGAGTAGAACATTGACAACAGTCTCTCACTGATCGCCTACGAGGAGTAGTTCTTTAATCCCCACAACAGCCTTTAGACTAGGGGCTGCTCTTACATTATTTTATGGATGGCAAGACTGAAATCTGTAACAGGAGGAAACTGAGGTTGAGTAATATACCCAAGGCACACAGCTAGAAACTAGTGCTGTGAGACCTAAAGTCATTTTAACATTTGCATCTCATTGTTCTGTCTGTTTTTTTGTTTTTTTTTTTTTTAAAAAAAAAACCATCAACGGGTTATGCTCACATTGTTTCTTTAATGTACAGGCTCTGCCCTACTGGAAAGCCAAAGTAAGTGAAGCTGTTAGTAACTCAGAGCTATTTACATTTCACAAGTCTCATGTTTCATTCCAAGAAGTCAGGCTCATCAATTATTTGCATTTGGTAACATGCTAATTGTACAGATAATTAGCCCTGAGACGAGACATGAACGTGAAAGTATAATGAATCGTTTCTGCTAATTGCTCTTTTCAGTTACGGACAGGCAGCAGTTTGAAGTATTAGCAGCTCTTATATTCAGTTTGCTAAATCTTCCTCTCACTCCAGGGTTGACAAAGAGACTTTCTTGCTCATGCCAACCTTGCCCCATTGGTTAGACCTTTAGATGCTAGCAAGTGTGAGTTGGCAACAGGTAAGCTCCACAGTTGCCATCACTGGCCTGAGTGCTGGAGAAGAGAGTCTGCCAAACCTCAGAGCTCAGTGACCGCGCTTTCTGCTCCCCTGAACACTCCTATAAACACCGGAGGAATGAGAAGGAATCAGAAGCAGATCTTGTCCTAAGAAAAAAAGCATAAATGACTATATACAAACCAAAATGTGCCAAGTGGGCCAATACTATAGCTCAGTTGGTCAAATGGTTGCTTAGCATGTACGAGGCCCTAGGTTTGATCCCCTAGACAACATAAATTGAGTGTGCTGGGGCATGACTACAACCCTAGTACTTGGGAGGTAGGGGTAGGAGGATCAGAAGTTTGAGGCCAGCTTAAGTTATAGAGAGAATTTGAAGCCAGCCTAGGTTAAGAGAGCCTGTCTGGAAAAAAAAAAAAAAAAAAAAAGGCGGGGGAGGGTTAAAAATTCAAAGTGCCTTAAGAGTAATAGATACGGGGCAGGAAGGGGTAAAGGAGAGGAAATGTTATTTCTAGTGATGAGAAGCCCAGAGCAGAGACGGGCCGGAGCATGAATCAAATGCCACTTTTGAAGTAAGCCTCAAAGAATAGGTAGACACGGAGGAAGGGAAGATTTAAGGAGGCGAGAGGCTCTGCTTCTGTCCCTCTGTGTTTGAGGTAGATGCTGGATCACCTATTGTATAAAAAAGCAATGTCCAACAGCAGTGTGCAGAGGGGAGAGTTTAATGCAGCTAGGATGTGGGGGTGGGGGAGGGGAGGAAGCTGGGAAATGAGGGCAGGACCAGGGTGTGAAGGGCCTGGGAACGTGGGGATAGGAATGTTCTAGAACAATGTCTCTCAAAGTGCGTCCACAGGATATTCACCATCATTACAGAACAAAAGGATCCTGCTGGATCCTGTTGTTGAATGTACCTGAAAAATATTGAGTTAAAAACAATTGAATGGATTTCCATGAGGCAATTTTCAGGGCTTTTGAAAATGCTGTGGATCTCCAGGAAGGGCCTGGAATTTGCAAATATCCTAAACTTCGTAACTACAGAAATGTTTTTCTTGGAGCGGCTTATGAAACTAGCACCGTGCAGGGACTTGGTGAAAACAAATGGCCCTGTGGTGAGGTGACATCTGAGGGACATGCATAGCATGGCCTGCTGACTAGCTGACTGACCTAGGAATCTCTACTGTGTTTGCAAGAACAGGGAGAGAATTAGCTGCCTCAAAAAGCATCAAGCCCGCCTTCCTTCTTTCTCCCTGGTTCCTGTTCTAGGTATTTGCCTCTCTCAGTCTCTCTCTCTCTCTCTCTCTCTCTCTCTCTCTCTCTCTCTCTCTCTCTCCCTCCCTGCCCTGACATAAAGCCTTCAGGGCTCCAAGAGTGCTCTGTTTTGAATCTCCTACCTGTCATCCCGAATCCCAGACTTGCTGCCTAATACCCTCTGACCTCTACACAACCTGCCCTGATGTGCACAGTTTCAAGAGTCTCTGGGGCTTCTAGTCAACCCATCCTGTCTCCAGCAGCTCTGGAGTCTGCTGTGACTGTGCTGGCTCCCACCTCTCTTGGCTCAGAGACAAGAGCTGCTTGCTGTGTGCTGTCTTCATAGATGCTGGGCTCGTTCACGCCTGATAAGCCCCACTCTGCCACTCTCCCCAGTGATGGTGGCTTCCAGGTGAGAGTCCATAAATCTGTTTGGGAGGGATGAGCAAACAGCTTCTATATTTAACATCATTTGGTTATCTCCTGTGGAGGGGGGAGTCTTGGCAGTGACATGTTCAGACCTGCACGGGCAAGGACCTTGAGTCGGTTGAGTGGACTCGGGTGGGATCACACGACATCTAGATTAGAAGGTGTAGCTTTGGGAGGGCCATTCATGTTCACTGAGAAGCCGGTGTGGTAGGATTAAGTGAATCTGGGCCAGTGGGAGAAACCTGGGCAGGCGAATTTGAATAAGAACGAAGAGCAGGCAAGAAGACAGATGGCAAACTGTAGAAGATGAGATGCCAATTGCTGTGACCCAGGAGGGAACTGGAGACTCGCTAAGGATTCTGTCTGCAAAAGGCTACCCTGTCTTGGGAACTTGCTAGGAAGACTAGGGGGAGAAACGAAGAAAATGTTGCCAACCTTTACTCTAAACGCAGGCTGAAAGATGCTGTTTTGATGAACGAATTTCAAGAAAGAAATAATAAGAGTCAGGGCATCGTAAGTGGTCTGGGAGCTCAATGGGCTTCTCGAGACAAGGTCAGGTCAGAAGCTGGCGGGCTGACAGGGTTTACTACAACCTAGGAAATTATGAAAGGAGCCGATTTTGTGAAAATTAAGAGCTACCCTTAGGTTTTCTCAAGGTGTCAAGCAAGTGGGGGAGAAAGGTTACTAAATGTATTGAATTCACACAGGGGGCTTGGGTGTACTTTAATTTTAGAGCAAGTGACTAGTATGCACAAGATTATGTGTTCAGTACCCAGCATACATACACACATACATGCACACACACACACACACACACACACACACACACACACACACACACACACACACACACCACCACCACCACCACCACCACTACCACATAACACAGAAAACCCAAATGTAGTGTCATTACCCCGCAAGAGGCAGCACAGCCTCAGAATAGAAATAGGTTCAAAACCTGCTTACATAATGTTGTGACATCTGGCACAAGCATATTATCCTGAGGGAAATCTGATTGTTAGAAGTGACGTAATAGGGAAGACAGTTGCATATCTGTAACACACAGCCCGTAGCCTCATTCTCAGTGTCAGATTGTATATATCAATGCATGTATTATGTCATCAAGTGCCTGCCTTATGTTCGTTCCCACACCGGGCACATATATAGATATGTGGCTGTGTGTGTGTGTGTGTGTGTGTGTGTGTGTGTGTGTGTGTGTGTGTGCAGATACACATAATCTTTGGTCCTCACTATCATAATCCAAATGGGAAATGGCTCAGTGGGTGGAGTACCTGCTGTGCAAGAGTGAGGCCCAAGTTCAAATCCTAAGAGCCCATGCATGGCTAATCTTGGTTGTCCACTGGTGAGGTTGGTTCTGTCCAGTGCCAAGTCCGTCTGGTCACCTCTGCTGTCCTTCCTTATGGGGAGGTCTCTTCATGGATTACCTCCATGGTCACAAACTCCAGAGGGCTAACTGATTGACACTCTTCTCTTACTCAGCTGCTGTAGGGGCTTTGAGCTTCCTTGTCACAGAGAAACTGGGGCTGGAATTGTGTCTGCTGATTGGCCTGGTCTGCCCCTCCCTTTGCCTTCTACCATTCCTCCTAGTCAGCTAGTGTGCTGGATTTGAACGAGACAGACGCATCTTCTGATTCCCGGAAGGCAGAGTTGCTCAACCTTGGTCTCTTGGCACTGCCAGCAGAATACTTCTTGTCCTTTACGTGAAAGAGTGTTTAGCATCATCTCTGGTCTATACCTACCAGATATGGCTAACAACCCACTCATCATCTGGGAGACAGAATCATCCATGGGGCAAACCCACAGCTGTCACTCAAAGGCACAAGGTCTCATGCCCTTTCTCAGCACACTGACTCTGCCCAGCCCCCTAGGAATGTAAGCGAATGCGGGGTCAAATGACACCTGTGGGCGGAGTCTGGCTTTTCTGGTTGGAGGGAGGGAATGCATCACAGATTGCTGGCTTAAGACATACTGGATGTCCCCACGAGACGTTAAAAATGTAGAGCTTTCAATGTGCAGATGGCTCGCACTGCTTAATTACAAGCTGAAAGCTCGCTACCACTTCCCTCCCTCTCCCTGTGCAGCAGCCCACCAGGAGCAGTGGAGGCATGAACAAGGAGGGAGCCGTTGCCCTTTCCCGCATCCTTATCACGCGCTAATTATTTTATTCTAAAGAGACAAAGTAGAGAGAATGTAACATATGATTCTGACGACAAACACTTAAAAAAAATCTGCCTGCTTTTCCTAGAGACTAGAGCATAGGATCTGGTTGCTAAGCAACTGGGAACCGGCAGACTCTCGTACTGGCCATGCTGGTTTTGGAAATGAGCCATAAAAGGAATTCCCCAGTGAGAAGGGATCCCATACCATTGCCTGGTTGCCATGGACACCATACATAAGTGATGGATCCTAGGTTACAGGCCCTGCTTAAGAAAAAAATAAATAAATGTTGTCTCTGCTTAAAGACTGAATGGTAACGGAAAGATGAGGACACCTTCTTCCTCTGCATTAGCCATGCAGACATGCCCTGGCCCCTTCCCCACATGCTCCCGGGAAAGAGAACTCTGAATCTAAGTGCCTGAGACATTCCATCCAAATTCAACTCAGTTTTTATTTAATATGTCTCAGTCTTTATAGGAGTTGGAAGGGAACGCGAAATCTGGAGAGCAAATTTTTAAACAAGAAAAGATGCTTCAGTGGCAGACAGGCTGTCTGTCTGCTTGTCATCCACCCCTGTCTGGTGTCCACGCAGCACTGAGATCAGACGCAAGGGCGACTTTCTGTAGTGGCACGTTCTGTGGGAATTTTACAAAACAAGAGAAATTATCAGAGGACAGAGACAATAGCCGTGACTCTGACATGAAATCTGCGTGTCATGCAGAGCGAGGCGACAACAGGCCGCTGCAATTCTGTCAGAAATTAGAAACAGGCTTCAGATAATAGGAGTCAAAATGCGATGCAGATACGAAGATGTGCAGCTTGAACTGCAAAGAGGTGTAGGTTGCGCTGGGCTTCCCATGGAAAACGGAAGGGACAGGCCTCAGAGCGTCCACAGCTGCCTCCTCTTAGACCATTTGACTCAACAGACTCGAATAACCTCTAAATGTCACGAGGAGACCAAGGTCCAAAGAGTCCATATAAGTTACCCTAAAATATAACTACCTTCAGTCACACACATTGACTACCTTCTAGTTTTTCTGAGTTGGGGATCCAGAAGCATCTTGGCTGGGAACCTGTGACTTGGGACCTTTACGAAAGTAGAGTGGAGACACCAGAGGAGCTGCTGGGCGGGCGGCTTCTGAGAGGATCAAGAGCTCTGCTGGGTGTTGGCAGTACAGGTCCCCTCTGGCTGTTGGCGGAGGCCTGGGTTTCTTGGTCTGAAGTTTTGTCGGTCAGGTACAATATGATGGACATTTTCTCTATAGCCAAAAAGCATCAAAGCAGACGTGATTTTTTTAATCTAAGCTTGAAAGTGATACCCAGTGATGTGTCACTGGAAGCCATTTGTTAGATTGGGGTCACAAGACCCTGCCCACACTGAGGGGAATGAATTCCGTGAAGGGCTGAATACGATGAGGTAAGATTCACTGAGGACTTCTCAGACAGTCTGCCACAAGAACTAAGTACGATTCTAGGTAAAACCCATGAAGAGGAGAGATTGGGGGTAGAGCTTGAGCCTCCTCTGGGTACGGGAGATGAGAGAAGGTGAGTCCTGGAGACTACAGGGAAACCTGAAGCAGAAGCAGAGAGGAGAGAGAGGAGAGGAGTGAGCAGGGGAGAGGAGTGATGAGCTGGGATGTAGGGCATACACTGGAGGAAAGTAGAGAAAAGAGGAAGCCAAGTGGGAATGAACGGGAAGTGAGAGAAGGAACCAAACGCAGAGAGGAGAGAGTAGACATGGGGAAGCAGAAACAGGAAGGGGTGGAGAGCAGGAAGCGGAGCAAAGAACTTCCAGACAATGAGCACAGAAGGAGGAAGCTTAGGGGAGAGGTGAAGAGCGTGGCGGGGGGGGGGGGGGGGGTGATGCTGTCGAAACGAACGGAGGGACAGCAGAAGGAGCTATCTTAGGGCTGGAGCAAAGGGAACAAATAACATGCCGTCATAACAAGGATTTATTGAGTGCTGACAATTTCATGTTACCTGATGTAGTCTTTATTGTCAGCCAACACTGTACAGGGCGTTATTTATAGTGTCTTGGAGATGAAGAAATTGAATTTTAGAAGGATTAAGTCCCTACTCAAGTCCACATGCCCAGACAGTGGCTATGTGTGCCTGGAAGTAGAGGACAGTACTTCTTGCCAGGAAATTCATAGTTATCGTGGCCAAGGCAGAAGGGACTATAGACTGGAGAGTTTGTGTCCATATACCGCACATGGATGTCAGCTCCTGTCTCCTCTGATGCTACCTGCTGATCTAATTCTCAGCCCAGATTGGGAAAGCTGGACCCCTTGCTGGCAGGAGTAGGCTCACTGGAACAAAAGGTCCAGGATGAGTGCCCCAGTTTATCACAGTTTAGACCCACAGTGAAGCTCTTTGGCCAAATCATGCAGTTATTTCTCACATCTGTATTGCTTAGAGTTATGGGGGTGCCATGCTTCATTCTTGAGATCTCCCAAAGTGCCTTGTGCTATCTAATTTAGGTATTCAAAAAGCTTTGTGGAGCCCAGCATCTACCTCTGCTGAATCCAATGAGAAATTCCACAGCAGAATTTATACCCAGCTCTTCACTAGCTACACCACTCACGGCAAATTACTAAACCACACTGGAATGCAGTGTCCTTATCAGCAAAGTAGGTTGACTAGAAGATCTTTGAAGTTTTTTTTTCCCCCTAGTTCAGAAACTTTACAAATCACTTATTAAGGATGAGAATTGGGAGCCTAAGTAGAAATGGTCAGTGGCTCTAAGGCTGTCACTCAGGGTAGAACTGACAGGGAACTCTTCTGGATTTCACTCGCCAAGCTGCTAATTCATCAATATGCATGTCCATGGAGGCTCAGCTCAACTCTTAGGGGGGCCTCTGTGTGCAGCAGAGATTCCATGAGCCCAGTTCTCCCCATTACTGAGATGGGAGTCTGGTGCTATGTGAGGAATTTAGAGAGGCTTATCAGTTCCCACAACAATAGAGACCGACAGGGCAGGATTAGTTCAGCTGCCAGAGTGCCACAAGGGATAAACAGAGCAGTAGGAACCATCAGAGACAAGAACACCCAAGACTTCCCAGAGATGCCATGCACATCAGGAGCCTGGATTTCATCAGCTCTTCAGTTGTCAATGCTCAGAGTGAAAGACAGTGTCACACGCCTCTGTGGTCCCTGCTAATGTGGACAAGTTACAGATGGCTCCTCACTATACTATGATCCGTGGAGTACCCAAGGCTATAAAGCAGCTGTTCTCAACCTGTGGGTCACAACTCCTTTGAGGGCCAAACGACCCCTTCACAGGGATCGTCTAAGACCATTAGAAGGCACAGATATTTACATTATGATTCGTAACAGTAGCAAAATTACAGTTATGAAGTAGCAATGAAAATAATTTTATGGTTGAGGGTCACCATGATGACATAAGGAACTGTATTAAAGGGTCTCGGCATTAGGAAGATTGAGGACCACTGCTATAAAGAGACTTGCAAAAGCATCTAAGGGGAAAGCCTGTGCTAGACATGGGGATCTACTAATGGTGAAGCTAAGCTGACCTTGCATCTAAAAGATGCACATGAGCCTCTGTAATTGTCATCTTCTGAAAAGGATAGATGGGTCCCCAACTTCTACTAGGTCGATAGGAAGGAACGGAAGAATGACCGCTATTCAAAAGAGGGATTACAGCCGGGCGGTGGTGGCGCACGCCTTTAATCCCAGCACTCGGGAGGCAGAGCCAGGCGGATCTCTGTGAGTTCGAGGCCAGCCTGGGCTACCAAGTGAGTTCCAGGAAAGGCGCAAAGCTACACAGAGAAACCCTGTCTCGAAAAACCAAAAAAAAAAAAAAATAAAAAAAAAAAACGAAAGAGGGATTACTTTTCGCAGTGTGTTCCCTGATGCATTTGAGAGCCTGCTCAGCTCATTACCTTCCTTCCTTCAGAGAAATGCTCTGGGACGACGAGATAAGAAGCACTGCCAACTGAAGAGCAGTCAGAAGTGAAGACGAAACAACTCTGATGGTCTAGAGATGCGGCTCACTTGGCAAAGTGCTTTCCTAGCGTGGCCGGAGCCCCGGGTGTGATACCCACCACTGCCGAAATTAGGCACGGTAGTGCCCACGAACTGTCCCAGCACCAGAGCGGGAGAGGCAGAGGAACCAAAGTTCAAGGTCATCCTCAGCTACACAGTGAGTTGGAGGCCATCCTGGGCTACTTAAGGCCCTTTAGCAAAGCAAAACCCAAAAGGTGGGGTGAGGTAGGGTGGGGTGGGATGGCTAAAGAGATGGCTCAATGGATGAGATTACTTACAGAAGACCAGACGCAGAACCCATAGAGTGGCTAACAACCGGCTGTAACTCCAGCTCCAGAGGATCCAATGCCTTCTTCCGACCTGGCGCACGCGCACACGCGCATGCACACACACACACACACACACACACACACACACACACACACACACCATGAAAACCAACACTGGAACACACAGGATAAAAATAAATTGAAAAAAAATTAAAGAAAGAAAAAGAAGAAAAAAAAGAAATGCTCATGAAGGACACAAGAACATTATCTTGATTTGCTCCTGCTGTTTCTGTGTGACAAGCCACACGGTGTACCTGGAGTGACAGCCAACTGCATCCTTGAGATTCTTGTGTCTATAGTCGCCTGAAACACACTGACTGGGGACGGCGTTCAGAGCAGGCTATGCTGTAACTCAGCAGTGCCCACACTGGGCCATCTGGTTTACCTCCAGCATCATCTGGTCCCAAGGCTATCTCGGAGCAGAGATGGGGAGGGGGAGATGGGAACAGAGACATCCTAACCAGAAGGGCACCTGAAGAGGAAGCAGCTTAGAGCACTTGGGCTCACTTTCCCTCAAAGCTCATAATATAACTGTCAAAAATGGCACAGTGAAGCTAAATTATAAGATAATTATGTTCAGTCCCAAATTCAACACAATAAAGGTTATTTGCTCTTCACCCCTAGCAACCATCTCATAGAGAAGAGAAAAATACCATCCAAAAACAAAATGTAAACCCTCAAAGCAGTAATAAAGCCAGCACACAACTATTCATTTCAAGTCTATTTTGAAAAGCCTTTGATAATACCAGTAATTCCCTATAAAGCTGTTCTCTTGCCACAATTCCTTTCTGGAGATAGAAAAGGGTTTTGCTGTTCTACAGCCATTCCTTTTAGGGAGATAAAGTCCACTTTATTTTTCCCTATTTTAAATGTTTGCCATTCTTTGTGAAGAGAAAAAGAAATAAAAAAGGAAGGAAGGAACCTCCGATCACCTACATCTAGCTAAGCCTCCAACGTAGGCCGGGGCTCAGTGACAGTAGCAATGAGAATTACCCCTGTTTTGCACAACAGAATTCATGTAATGGTCTTAATAAGGTGCTTAAATGGAGCCCAAGAGCCTTGTCCAAAAGATCCTGAAATGGTCCAGTCTAAAGTACAAAGTGCAATGGTCCGTCCTTTCCAGATGTTTTGATGCTTCACAGCGTGCACTCTGGGTATTAACTAGCTGTTTTATATCCTGACTTGGCATTCACCTGGGTACCACTGGGCAGGCCTACTACAACTGAACTAAGGCTATAGGAGCTTGGGCCACCTTTGGTTGCAACAGATATCTACTTAGATGAATCATATAAGTATGGGGTGGGTCCTAAGAACCCCGTGGACTCCGGGAAGATGTAGTCTTGTTTCAGAAGAGTGGGAAAGCTGGCCGCCACTGTTGCTATGAGGATGTGATGTGGTAGAAAAGGGGCTGTGTGCAGAGGTACTCACACCTAGAAGAAAACAGGGTGTGGGCAACGACTAGGCTCTTCAATGCAACATGACATAGAAAACAGGAGACTGGTAGGTGGGGAAAGAAGTAAGATAATGAGCTAAAGGAGGGGTTGGGAGATAGCTCAGCAGGAAGAATGCTAGCTGTGTAAGCACAAGGTGCCGAGTTTGAGTCCCAGGGCCCATATGAGAAAAGCTGGGCCTGGCGATGCACACTCTAATCCCAGCACTGGGGAAATAGGTTCCTGGTACTTGTTGGCCAGCCAGCCTTAACAACTACTTGCTAAACCTAGGCCAGTGAAAGACCTTGTCTCAAAAAACAAGGTGAACAGCTCCTGAGGAATAGCATCCAAGGTCGTTCTCTGATTTCCACTTGCATACGAAAACGTGCATCCACACCTGCACTCACATGTGTGTGCACAAACATGGGTGAACCCACATAAAATAAAATTAAATAAAAATTAAATGATAAAGAAAAGAGGGAGGAGGTAGAGAAGCTGAGAGCAATGAGCTAGCGTTAGGCTTTGGTTAGTTGTCAGCAACTCTCTGGCACTGGAGAGGGACCCTCCACGATGTGTAACCAGCCTGTGTAATAGTGAGACCCTCCACGATGTGTAACCAGCCTGTGTAAGACCTTTGAGAGGTCTTAAACACAAGCTTTGACTAATTTCTCTGAATTGGTCGTTCTGGTTTGCATGGTCTTGTGGACTGCTTTTGAAGAGATAAAATTATATTCACTGAATGGATATACATGATCTTAATAGCAAGTTCGAGAAAGTCTGTGTCTTTTTTATACCTAACTCCCAAAGCTTTAATAACATGGCTTATATATATATATATAATATATATATATATATATTATATATATAATATATGTTAGATATAATTGCTACTTGTATTTTGGACATTTAGATGTGTTCAGTTTCGGTCATCGGGTTTGTTTTCACATACCTTTGAGCAAAGAAAGAGAGCCTGAGCTTCATTAATCAGTTCTACATTTCCACTCGAATTTCTTATCAGAAAATGCTCCCTGTGTACCTATGATGTTAAAGGCGCTGGGCTAAGCACTTGTGTGAGTCAAGCTAAATAAGACACAGGCCTCTCTCTCTCTCTATGGAATTTGTAAGAGGGGTCAGAGGAATTGAACAGCACTAAACAATGGTACCACTTGTTAAGGCATAAAGACTTGCAACTGTGTTGATGCAGGCTGTTCCTGGGACCCATCTCAGCATCGATAACATCTCTTCTACACACACACACACACACACCACACACACACACACACACACACACACACCCCGCAGTCTCTTTCCACCTGAATCCTACCCACCCTTCTCATCCTACCCATTCCATAACTGCCTGGTTTGATCAGATTCTTTCCATAGCATGTGACTGCTTTGGAATATCTTCAATCTCTTTAATTCACGTAATAGACATTATGACTACTGGCTAAGTGGTACCTGGTTGCCTTCCTAAGTCAACTGACCCAGTGGAAACGGCTCATAAAGACTATGAGTATGGACGGCTGCCTGAGCTACTGTGTACCTGAGTCTCGTGTCCTACCCAAACACTTACCTACTGTTCTCTCATTTGTGACTCCATTAGGGACTTTGTACGGCTGTGTGTGTGTGTGTGTGTGTGTGTGTGTGTGTGTGTGTGTGTGTACATCACAGTGGGCTGGCCAGCCCTCCTTCCCTTTCTTGCCTTCCTGTGTACAGTTTCCTTGGTGTCCAGGTAGGAGACCACTACACGCCATGCAGGTGTCGACAGGACTGTCTGGCATTTTTTCCTACCAGTCCTCTCCTAGGAAATTGGCTTAGTGCCAAGGACTGATTTGGCGTGGTGACTATGAAGATGCTCCAGAGTTACAGTCATGCCAGATGCCTGTCACTGGTTCAGTAGCTCCTGCTTCAATTCCCTCTGCCCTGATTCCAGTGGCAATAAAGGTTAAATCTCCAGGATTAGCCTGGCAGGCAGCTGCCACGGTCAGTTCTTGTCTTTTATGCACGGATCCTCACCAGACACTTCTGGGCTACAGCCCAAGTGCTGTGTGTAGGGGTAGTCAGAACCTACTCTTAGATCTTACATGACCAACCCTTACCAATAGCAGCTGATTTTCATGTTCCTCTCTCTGAGAAAGGTCTCTTTGTGGAGTCTAACCTTCTTTTAAACTCTTCCTGCCACAACTGCCTGAGTGCTGGGGTTACAGGCCCTTACCCATCGTGCCCTGGCTAAAGCATCTGGTTTTTGTTGTTGTTTGTCTGTTTGTTTCAAGACAGTCTTTCTCTGTGTAGCAGCCCTGGCTGTCTTGGAACTCACTTTGTACACCAGGCTGGCCTTGAACTCACAGAGATCTGCCTGTCTCAGCCTCCCAAGTGCTGAGATAAAAGGCATGCGTCACCATGCCTGGCTTCACATCTGTTCCTTATAAATTAGGGTAAAACCAAGGGGCAGGTTTTACCCTAGTTCTTATCACCAATTCTGAAAACCGAATTCACATACTCCTTTACTCCACACTTAGGGTTCCATCCAATTCTTAGGAAAAGTCAAGTATCTACTTCCACAATGACTGGCGACATCACACAGTGGTCTGAGGCGTATACAGGCCATTTGAGGTGGACTCACCAACTATGGCAGCTTGTCTGGAATTGGGAGGCTTCCTGGGACTTGGAACCTGCAGCATTAAGAGCAGGAAACTCCCAGGTAAGGCAGACCAAGTTGATCACACTATCTAGAACTGAACACTGACCTCTTAGACTAGCTCATGTTCCGATACAGTATGGGCTAACAGTTTGCCCCAATTTTGACTTCCTTTGTGTGAGAGGAGAGTGGGGCAGGGGTGGGGATAGGAGTGAGTGGGGGTGATCCACCTGTCCTGGAAGCCACCACAGGACTGGTGGTCAACAACCTTGAACTTTAGTGTCTTGAAAGACCTTTGTGATTGAAGGCAAACGCATTAATTTCTGATTCCTCACCTGTAAAATTGATTGGGCTAACCTTTGGGAATTAAAGTTTCTTCTAACTTTATCCATCTCTCTCTTTTCTCCCTGCCTTAAACACACACACATACACACACACACACACACACACACACACACACACACACACACACACGATTCCACTTTATTTTTTAGATGTTTCTCTTAGTACCATGTCAATCCACATTGGAGCCTAAGGTAAAAGAGAAACCAGTTAACATCGGGCCTCATTTTATTTAAAATATTAACATTTTATTCGTCAAGGATTTTGTATTGATTTGGGTTTTTAAGCAATGCATAAAAATATTAATCTTTGCCGCTGAATATTTGTCAGCTGTGTGCTTGGTCCACACTCACATTCACCTTATCCGAATTCTAGCTTTCTTAGTCTTGCTCTGCGCGGAGGTGAGGACAGAGTGAAGGAAGGAGGAAGTCTCCCAGAGAAGCAAGAAAAAGACTAAATGCCATGGACTTTGCAGAATTGCCTAGGGTTGGTCATAATGCTAATTTTATTAATAATGAGCTACCTAAAATTTCTGGTTGTTTTTCTGTGTAGACTGGATCAACTCTTTGAGTATGGGGCCCTCATGTCTGGGGGGACTTTATTTAATTAATTGTTTTGTTTTGCTTGATTGTTTGTTTTCGAGACAGGGTTTTCTCTGAGTAGCCTTGGCTGTCCTGGAACTCGCTCTGTAGACCAGGCTGGCCTTGAACTCTCAGAAATCCACCTGCCTCTGCCTCCACCTCCTGAGTGCTGGAATTAAAGGTGTGAGCCACCACCCCACCCCACATCTGGGGGGTGTTTGAATCTCATGCTTCTGTCAGGTGCCCAGCCCTGAGTCACATGCTGAGCTGTTCCAATAAAATGGCAGGAGACGGAGAATTCTAGATCTCAACGCCAGCTCTGCTCTTGACCTTCCAAAAGACAACTATTTATCACTTAAAAGAGTTTTGTTTTGTTTTTGTTTTTTAACCTCAGACAATAAAGAATAAACAGCTGGAAAACCAGGAGAGTGAAACAGCTGTTTGGTGAATGCTACCAGATAACGGAAAAGGAATTTATATTTGATCCTTTGCTCCCCACCCTCAGATTCAAGAGGATCAGGGGGAGATATGACCTAGACAAACAAGCCTCAGGGGTTCCAGAACCTCCTCATCCTGAGGAGGGTCACAGCTGTCCCCCTGGCGCAACACACCAAAGGATGCTGTTCACAGCAGGATCTGGAGAAAATGCTATCAGACCGGGACTTGGGATGGGAGCAAAGGAAGCCATATGCAAACGCCATCAGTGAAGAATTCTCTTTTAGAGGACAGTTCCAGCCAGCCGCTTTGCTTTCAATTAGAAGCCTTAATAAAGACTAATAGTTAGAAAATGGATTCATGCTGCAGTCTTCTCCGGCAAGCCTTTATCACGTTAATAAGCAAGAACTGGTGTTGGGATGCTGGAGTGAAGGGAGGCGCTGGCCAGGACTCTCTTCTCGTTTGACCCCTAACTGGCTATTGCCCTTGAGAGAATCATTTAACCCTCTCCATGCTTCCTTTTCTTCATCTTTAAAAGAGGGTCTTAGCCTAGATGGCCACCAGGATCCCTTCCGCCTCTGATGCGATCTAGGAGGCGTTCTACAGCAAGGCCTGGGGCTAATGTTTCTTAATGTCCTCTCCCTGCTGAACCCTGTTACCTTTCATCCCCCACACAGGGAATGTCATGTTGTTAATGAGTAGGTTTCAATACATGCAGACGACAGAGCTTTTGTGTGGATTGGGAAGCATGAAGGTTTCCCTTTCAGCTTGCAGAGGGTTCTAACAGAAGCTGGTCACACCCCCACACAAGGGAAAAAGAAGCAGGAAGAATCCTGAAAATCTGGGACTCGGTTGCAGGCAGAGAAAAAGCATCGTGTTGGTATTTTTAAAGAGCTTTCCACTCCGTGTGCAACACCTTTGTGCCTCCTTCATGTGTTTCTCCCTCTTTTTAGCTCCACAATGAGCTATTTCAGGATGTCGCCTGCCTGCGGTACAGCCATGCAGTTGAGAGGCAATTTAATTGTCATGGTTCCTTTTCTTAGTCTTTCAAGACCTTTTGTTATGGTGAAATAATTTTAGGCATTCCAAGCACAAATCCATTAAATTCTTGCCTTACTTTACTAATGAACTACTGTGGGTGGGAAAATTAATTTTATTCCACCCATGAAACATATCTGATAAATTTCTAGAGTTGAGAAACGAAGCTTGCAAATACCAAGAGTTGAATACGACTCTTAAAAAATAACTTTGTTTCCCTTATGCCAAGGTGGAGCAGAAGAGAAGTCTATAAAAATAGTTCACAAGAGGCTGGAGAGATGGCTCAGCAATTAGGAGCACTGGCTCCTCTAGAGGACCTGGAATTCCCAGCACCCACATGGCGGTTCACAACTGTCTGTAACTCCAGTTCCAGGGGATCTGACACCCTCACAGAGACACACGTGCAGGCCAAACACCAGTGCACATAAAATATTAAAATAAAACAATTTTGTTAAAAAAAAAAAGTTTGCAAAATGAAAATAGTTCAAGAGGTCCCATCTCAGGTTGATGTGGTGGGGAATTTTACAGGTTGCTGTCTGCCTAGAGACACAAGGGACCTTGCGTTAGTGAACTGGAGACTCTTCCGAGTGGCCGTGATGAGATCAGATGTTAACACATTTGTTTAAGGCGTGGTGCTGCCCAGCTCTGAGGGAAAGCATTTGCATAGCCTGGGTAGGTCCCGTGGTGCTGAAGGGCCACAGTCTACAGCTCACCCAGCACTGCTCACCCCACCACCCAGGCTGTGGCCATGGCATTTCTCTGCTGGTTTACCCACCTCGAGGACAGGAGAACAAGTGAGAAGGCTGTGCACAGATATACCAACAAGGGCTGGAGAAGCCGCAGCATGGACAGGCAAGGGACAGCTCTGGCTGCATTGTTCCTTGAACAGGAAACCAGGCATCGTCACCCTCACATAGGGGAAGGCAGGAGGTTGGGCTAAAAAAAAAAAGGGTAAAGAACACAGTTCAAAGGGAAGGTTTCTCTTTAGGGAGATCAGCAGAAGTCCTAAGGCAAGAAAGGTCAGAGTCCTGTCCCCAAAGATAAAAAAGTTTCCCAATTACTGAGGCCCTTGATGAGCGTGGAATTCAGATCGACTATTCCGTGCTTCCTCATTTCAATCAGTCCCTTTCAAAGCCAATTCATGGGAGTGCATTAGGTAGAGAAGTAGCCTGCTGATTCTCCTTCGGTCAAATTTAATTCCAATCTCGGCCTCTAAATGTTTTCAAACTGCTCTAAAGAGTTCTCGGTGTCTGGTGCCTTCCCCTTCACCTCACTTTTTTTTTTTAAACTCTTTTTTCATTTCTTTTCTTTCTTTCAAAACCCTATCCAGTAGATCAGAGGATACCATCCGCGTGAGTTGAAAGAATCCAGTCCATAAGAAGGCAGATACAAACATCCCTGTCCCCCTGGGGCTGGGTGCTACATTACAAGTTTCTGCTCTTCCCCATGTAGCTTTTGGATGGATTCTCCTGTGCAAGTTGGCCACATTCGTGTTCTGTGGCTCTGACGTAATGACTGAGACATGTTCAATGGAGTTCACATTAGGGCCAAGTTTAGGGCTTAATATAACTCGGAAAAACAGTGACATACTTTAAAAAGAACTAACGAGTAAGAGGAAAATGACAAAGCAGATGTATTTTTTTCAGTCTATAAAATTATCGTTATAGTTCTCTACACACTGGCACACACACGCATGTTCACGTGCATGCAACTTGATCGCCCCCCCCCCATTAAATGGCAGTGAGCCATGAAAAACTACAGAGAATTATAAGCTGAGTCTGTGTTTAAGAAAAGAAAAAAGATTTCTCTCCTCAAGTGACAGAAAGTTGGATAAACGCTATTTTTAGAGGAAATATATTTAATGTCCAGATGTGGCTTCCCACATGAAGAGAAAAACAAAGCTATCTAAGGCCCTGCACGGCACTTGGAGACACTGTGTAGAGTTTTTGGTGATAATGATTTATCATGGAAAGAGTCAGTCACGTGATCCCGGCCATCAGTCTCTGCACTGGTTCCCTTGGGAACAGCATCTGCACACGTGGCTCCAACATGGAGATGATCTTGAGGTTTACATTCCTGAGGTAATTGCTGCTAACTCTCTAGGCTTGCAGCTTTTTTTTTTTTTTGGCACCACATTTCCTCAGGCAAAGAGAAAGAACAAGATGTCAGGACATCTGTGCTAAGTCAGTCAGTTCTCTAGTGGATGTCACCTTGAGAGGTCACCTGCTCCCCCAAGTAATCCTGCTTCTGCTCTGACAGTTGGGAAGTCCCCCTACTTGTCCACCCAACAATTAAGCACCTACAAAGTTCCTGCTCTCTTTTCAGTGTGAGCGTCAAGTGAGGAGCAGAGCAAGTGTAGTCTACTGGAATTTCAAGTCCAGTTTATAAATTACAGGAGAAAATCAATCTTCTTACTTAAGTGACACCAATAATGGCGTCTCGTTTGATCATAGCCTTCATCACTGTCCCTGCCCTGACTAATGTCTAGCCATTAGGAAAAAGTCAATCCCTGAAATGCAGTTACAGAAGATAATCAAAATAATGTGATACAGGCTTAAAGAGAAGAGTCACAGAGCGAATGACTGAGCGATGACATCATCGCCAAAAGAAAGGCATGGCTTCTTCCAGTGACTCTGGAGTGTATGCTTCTAGGAGGACATCACTCCCAGCAACAGCAGCCAGGAGGCATGGAGGAAGCAGCTGGAGAGGGAGTGTCAGGAAACGAGACCGAGCAAGTCTAATTGGAGTCCAGGCAGGTGCTAAAAGCCAGGGCTGAGGAGGGAGTGGCACTCTTAGGAGAGAGAGGCATCACATGAGAGAAGCTTTTCAAGAGCTGAGCCCCAGATGGCTGGAGAATCTTGGCCAAGTTGCACAGGAGAATCCATCCAAAAGCTACATCGGGAAGAGCAGAAACTTGTAATGCAGCACCCAACCCCAGGGGAATAGAGATGTCCAGGCTACGCCAAAGAGCCTAGCTGCCAGCTGCTGGACAAGCGGTTAATGTGTCTCCAAGAGTCAGGGCGGGAAGGGGCTAAACAGCCTGTCTTCGTGGTTCCAGGGCAGTAACTAGCTCCCCATCCCTTGGTAGAAGTAGTCACAGCTGCTTTAGAACCTTCCAAATATAGATGATATGTTACAGATCTGGCCCCTCCCTTTCCCTGAGAAGATGAAGAAACTCAAGGATAACCATGAAGTCATTGCTATCCATTTTTAAGGATGAAGATGGAATGGGAATCAGGACTTCACTTGGCATTATTCCTTTTTAGAGTTTATTTATTTTTATTTTATGGATATTAGCATTTGTCTGAATGTATGTCTGTGTACCACGTGTGTGCAGTGTCTGTGGAGGCCTGAAGAGGGCATTGAATACCCTGGAACTGGAGTCACAGTCAGTTGTGAGCCATCATACAGATGCTGGGAGTCGAACCCAGGGCCTCTAAGCAACAAGCCAGTGCTCTTCACCACTGAGCCATCTGTCGAGTCCTACTTGGCATTATTTCAGGGTCATTTCTCAAATGTCCAATAACCATCTGAAGGTGAATAGCTGGGAAGGAATCCCCCTTCCACCACTGACAAGCTCTGCACACTGCTGCTGTTTAATGGTTCTGTTACACATGGGTTTGCATGTAGCTCTGCAAACTGCCCTCCTCTAAACAGCCTCTATCCTTCATAAACAGCCAATCTGGGGAGATGTTTAGCTACAGTCTGAGTGTGCCTCGTAGGCTTGATGTAGAGCTGGGCTGCTGTAAACATTGCTGCTTGGGTTCATCCACACCAGTCTATACAATTGAACCAGCCAGGAAACCAGTGTTCCCTCCCTCCCCCTCCTTAACAGGCCCCAAGAAGACAGTGTTTGGGCCAAGTCGGTCATTCACGAGCCCATTAGACTCCCTACCTAATGCCAACCTACTTACTCCGTACTTCTGTTTCTAACTTTCAAATTCTTCTTTTATTTTGAGACAAGGTCTCACTAAAATAACTCAGGCTTGACTTTAACTCACTATATCGTCCAGGCTGGCTTGCAGGCTTGTGGCCTCTTTATTTTTTAACTTTGTTTTCTCCATCAATCTTCATGTAATATTTTGTTTAATAAAACTAAAGGCCTGAGCCAAGGGAAGTTCTGCTTCTGTCTGTCTGTCTGTCTGTCTGTGTGTCTAGCTAGAATTTGCTGTTCTAGGCCAATAGTCGCAGTCATTTTAGCCATATGTAAGTTCGACAGAGCTAGGCAGGATGGTAAGGGGAACACTTGCATGGCCTATTAAGCACAAGGCATGGATGGAAAATTGGGAAATAAGAAAAATAGTAAGAGGAAGAGTGGAAAAAAGTCAAAGGAAGGAAAAGATCAGTGGGGGCTGTATGATTTGGGAGTCTTTTGTCCCAGAACACGTGTAGCTATATGGTCATCTAGTACTTTGCATTTTATCTGAGGGAGTCTTTGGACAGAAAGGTTCAGGTAGGAACCTCCATAGTAAAACATGACCCACCACTTCACAGCAACTACCTCAACCTGCCAGTGGCATAGGGTATCTGCTGTGAAGGTGAATGCTTAGGTTCTTAAAATGTTTTTCAATGCTTCTCTGGTCTTTTACTTCATCCTCCTTATAAGAACACTGCTTTGAACTATAATGAACCACACCCAAATTTGTTTTTTTAGTGGGGCAAAGGTTGTTGTTTGTGAGACAGAGTCTGGCCTTGTCGTTCAGACTGGCCTTGAACTTGAGATCCTCCAGGTTGCAGGGATTGCAGACAGTCACCACCACATCCAGCTCACATCCAAAGTTCTAAACATGAGCTTTCAAATATTTTCATTTCAAGCAAATGTTCTCCTTAATGTGATTAATAGCTTCTGTTGGCTAATCTCCAATCCATATCCTGAGCTCTGTAATCAGAACAAATAATATAATTGTCAGTTACGGATCGAGGTTACCGTTTGCCAAGTAGTTGCAGTGCAAGTCTTATTAATGGTTACTCATGGAAGCATTGGTACTTAGGTTTTCACTGGAGACATCCAACATCATTTGATTATTTTTATGTTCATAACCCTGAGCAAAGGCCTCCTGGTGTCGTTCTTAAGCCCCTGACACCTCCTGAGTCTCTTCTGATTATTGACACTGAAACTGTTAATCAACCCTCTATTTAGAACCTTAAAACCAAGTAATCCACCATGTCTCATAATCCTGTCATGCGTGATCATTGCCCAAAATAACCATCGCCTTTTGGGCCATCCCTCCTCTCTTGCACCAACAAAGTACAGTTTAATTACAGTCATGGGTCCAGCAGCTTATTAAATCATCTCTCGTATGTTCTTAAGACCCTGTCAACTAACACACCGATGTTGAACCCCCTGCCTACCTGCGCCGACATCATACACACGATGCTTAAACCAAAGATCTCCAACTTTCTCCTCCTTCCTTCTTGCCTGTCACACCCAAAAGATGTTCAGATCTTTTTCCTTCATTGTTAAGAGTTTAATTAAGGTCATCTTCACTTTTCACCTTTAACCCCCTGCCTTGTTCCTCAGTTTCCTGTCAGTGACCTTTCAAAGTCACAAATCTGACCTCCTAACTACTTCTGCCTAAAATCTGCCAATAGACATCTTTTGCCTTCAGAAATGGACCCAAGTTCCTAGCCTGGAATTCAAGACTCTTCATCAGTCATTCTGGTGTTTCTCACCACCCCACCCCAGCCCAGGCCAACACTTAAAGATGGGGCCAGCAAACCCCAGGCGGTTCCTCTGGAGATGGCTCCCCTCCAACCACTGGTTAACACCAGTTCATTCCCCAGAATGCTGAGTGTTGATGGAGCCCTGCTCTGGACCTCTACACATCTATTAGCATTTCTAATCTTCCCAAGAATCCTGTGGAACTTGTAGACACTCCTACCTTTGCCCAAGTTAATAGTTAGCGAGGGTAAGCAGACTCAAACCCAGGCTTGCCAGACTCCGGGGGCTTACATTCTTTCCCCGGAGCCAAACTGCTTTACCTCAGAACTCCACTCACATGTCTCCTTTCCCAGGGGCCCTCCCTGACCCTTCACCCTGATGTTTTCAGAGCATCCAGTCTGGGTTTTCCTCTTTCAGCCTCTCAGCCTCAGGCACAACCCACAGCACAAGTGTGTGTCTGTGTGTCGAAGGCTGTAAGCATCTACCAGACAGATGTTGGCCCTTTTAACGGTCCAAGTAACACCTGTTCACAGACATTAAAGTTCAAATAATATATAAGGTTACAAGTAGCCTCCAGCTCCAGTCCAACTTAGAGGTAATCCA